TAGAAGCTCTTTGAGTCTTTTTGTTGCCTGAGATGCCTCTTCTGTCTTTCTTTGCAAAACCTGTTAAAACCATAGACTTTGAGCAGCCATGATAATAAATAGGATCGATACCATTGGTCTGGAAGTTTATAAAAAATTTCTCACCAGCTTCTGCTTTTGATTCAAAGCCATGAGTTTGTGCATCTCATACTCATTTCTCCTTCCCTCTTTTTTGAGCTGGTCAAAATAAATACGATATAGTGAATGGTATACAAAAGAGATTCCAGAAAAGAAGTCAAAATATCTGAATACAAGTGACTAACGACTGAGAAAATATGCCTAGTTCAGCAGTGGAGCAAGACAGACACTAATCAGTCAATGAAATCAAGTAAGCCTCAAATCATCAAGAAGAGTCTTAATAGGCTACGAAGTGACGAATCAAATATACCTGCATGACTTCCTTCTCTCTTGAAGCCTTCCAAACCCTGAACTGTTCTGACTCCTGCTTAATCTTTTGCTGTAATTGCACCTGAAAATAGAATCAAAGTGGATTAGCAATGTTAAGAAACACAGACATGAACAGATATAAAGAGTCTCAAATAGAGATCAGTGGAAAAAAGGCACCTTCTGGGACTTAATTCTGTGAATCTCATCCTGCAGTTTTCTTGCTGCGTCGTCACTTTTCTGCTTTTGTCTCAAGAGTTGAGCTTGTGCATCTTGTTTCTTCTTCAGCTCAGAAACCTAAAGAAACATAATACAATGCATTATGAAAATTATATGTAAAATACGAGTATAAGTGATCAATAAAAACGGGAGTTACCTGTGTTTCAAGCGTGTTCAGTTTCTGAAGATACTCTTCCTTCAGTTTCTGGGCACCATCTCCTGGGACAGATGGTATGCTAGCAAGGTTCTGTCTCAATCCTTCAATTTCTCTCTGTATGCATATTTGTTTTAATCAAATCTAGGCCTCTAAATTTCATCAAAATACCATACAAACTAGAGAGCACTGACCTGCAATGCTCTTTTCTCCTGTTCTAGTTCATGTACTTTTTTCTCATAATGTTGTTTGAGAACAGATGTACCACCACTTGAGTAACGCTTCATTTCAGCCTTCATGAAAAATTGAAGTTTATAAGCATACTATCTTAAGGAACCTGATGAAAAACTAAAAGGAGCACACCCCAAAAAAATGAGAATAGTACCTCCTTTTCTTCAAGTCTCTTATCCAATTCCTTTAGTTCCATATCCAACTTTTCTTGAAGTGAACAATGTTCAAGCTCCTTTTCTTGAATTTCAATTTCATCTGCACACAAGGTGAAGTGGATCAAACAGAGTTCTTATAGAGCAAAGCATCTCATATACTGTGTTCTTTCAGCATCTAAAAATTTAAGGCTTATGCTTCTTACTGCAAGGCATGCAAAAAATGCTAAAACAATAGTTGAGGTACCAACCCGTGACATCAATGACTTTGTCTTCACAATCCGACGAATCATTAGATGAGGGGAACAAGACATTATTAGAACGGGGCCCATCGTCATAGGAATCAGTAGAATCCGAATATTGGCAATTACTGGATTTCTTCAAGCTTTTAACATGCAACAGCTCTCCCTCTAGCTCTTGAATTTTCGAAACATACTTCTTCACCAAACCATCATCCTGGAAGATTAAACACTTAAGCGAAAAAGATCACTTGATCTTAGACATCAACTAAGGAATCATAAAAGACATCCCACCTCATTTTGACAGGATTCGATCTCATCCAAGGATTTACCATTGCGAACAGCTTCAACTGTCATTATAAGTTTGTCCTTTTCAACCTAAATGGATGAAAACAAAGTGTTGAGTGCTAGATGTCATATGAGTTTGATCCATACGAAACAATGAGAAGAGAAGAAAACCTGAGCATCATAAGCACGCTTTGAGTAATGCTCACAAGCAACTCTCCGTTCTTGAAGTTCATTTTGTAGCTCGCGATTGCTTGCCTCAAGCAGTGATACTTTGTGCTTGAGAATCTAACAAAGGTTATGTTATTAAGGATTAAAAATCATGTAACTAGCATCAAATGTAAATGTTTGTCTTAGATGAGATTGAATACCTGGAGCTCATCAAAAGCACCACTGTCACCCCGATAAAACAGGAGTTCTGTCTGCAGCTGCTCAATTTGACTCCGCATTCTTTGCATTTGTGCAGCTGCAGGATCTCGATTGATCTATTCATTGCACGAAATGACAATTCGGTAAGGTCACAAACAGAAAAATATCACAGATAATCATAGTAAGAACTAAAATAACGCACCACTGCTTTGTTTTGAATATTACGGGCACGATTTGCATACTTCAGCGTATTTAATGTCTCCTCAGCATTTGTATCTGCTGGACTTACACACGCTGCATCATATAGAGATATCATAAATTACGTGCAGAACTAGAATTCATGCTTGAATAAAAAATTGAATGTTCAAAAGATATAATAAATCATAAAGCCGTACCAATCATCACGGTCTTGCTATTGCCACCAAGGGAATCCTTAATCACAGATTACCACCATTAGGTTTTCTTCTTCAATATAAATATGCAATGACGTCTAATTTAATCGATAAGGTGTTTTTGTGAAAAAACAGAAAAAGCTGTAATACCTGAAGCAAACGAGTTAACTTGCTGTCACGATAAGGAACGTGACCTCCTTCCTTTCTCTTCTTCTCATCTCCTAATGCACTGATTACATTTCCCAGCGCTAGTAGACCTTTATTGATGTGGATTCCTGTACAAATGGATAAAAACAAATCTCCAAGTTTACTCATTTGTCTCTCTTAACAAAAAAGGTAATATAGAACACAAAGATAGGTGTGAGATAACCTTCTTTCAAGCGCATCCCATCGGCTCCTGTTCGTTTTGCACGCTCTGACCCTGCTAGATCAACCAAATGAAGCTTTGCGCATAGTATATCTTCACCACCATCTTCAGTCGTTGTGGAAGAACAGCTGGAAGTTTTCTTTTGTTCCAGAGTGATTGTGAAGATTGCATGGGACCGACTAAAAAACAAGAAACAAACATTACATTAGCATATTCATAGGAGTTAGACTTTCTTAATATTGGTTTTACAGATCTGATCTAATATTGAGATTTTATCATTATTCACAAGTATTCATAATTCTACTAAATGAATCCACCACAATGTTCTAACAAGTAGTACAGTATCAAGATTAAAGAACGAATTCTAGTGAACAATATCAAATTGTAGATTCACCTTGATTGGCTATTCATGTTTGTGCTGCCAGTAGCACGAGCCAAAGAGCCTCGTGCTAGATACGAGCCCATCTCCTCCTTCGTCTTCACTTCTGCCTCAGTAACGCCAGCCAAAGTTATTCCACCACTGGCAGTTTCTCTGATTTGAATTGGAGTTCTTGAGAGGGCAACGTGCTTTGCCTGAACCCCACTGTCATTTTTTAGTAGGGCCGAAGAATTTGAGTCAAGCAAATCAAAAACTTCCTCCTTAAATATCTGCATTTTAGAGGTAAGTATGAGAATTGAAATATACAAATCATATCTCAAACAAGAAGCTCAATAAATGCTCTTCTTACCTCAATAAAAGACACCCGAATCAATAGTTCAGTTGAATCTTTGGTTGTCTCAACTCTTCTAAATATATCTTCCATCACTTTTGGTATAATACCACCATTTGTTCCATCTCCACTATAATTAGTACCCATGGTGTATGTTTTACCTGAACCAGTCTTCAATAACAAAACAAAAAAACAATGAATTTAATCAAACCAAAAACATCATGTCAACTCTAAAGAAATGCAGAGTTAAAAGAATCTTCAAACCAAACCTGGCCATAGGCTAGAACTGTAGCATTATATCCTTTAAATAGTGCTTCCACAAGTGGAGCAACACAATGATCATAGATCTCCATACAAGGATAACCAGCATTTCCAAATACGAAATCGTATGTAAAAGTATGTGTACCTATGTGAACCTGTTCAATTCAGAAGAAATACACAGAAAAATGAGCTCTCGTAACCTGAAAAAACATCAAATTACTTTGAAAATCTCTTCAAAAACTCCAAACCCAAACGTTTTTTTTCATAAACCCTTAAAATTCCCTATTCGTGCATAAATTTATTCCCGAATGGAACCAGTTCGCTCTGTGTGAGAATCAATCCCACATATTACAACCCTTTTCCAACATCAAAATCCCCAGAAAAAGATGAAGAAACAAAACGCGAAAAAGGGGGAAAAAAACCCTTCCGATTAAAATACCTGTGGCTCCTTAGGAGCAACGGTGATGCAATCGGTACATCCGTTAAGAAGCTCCGGCGTAATCAACGGACGTATATTGACGGCAACCCTAACGCACTCCGTACTCTCCATCTCCGGTTCCCAACCCACAAACCCTTGGTTTGCGAATCCAATCTAGTAACAGAAATCACCACCACCTCCTCCTCCTCCAGTAGAAAGAAAAAACCCAATCGACACCACGAAGAGTAGATCCAATCGAGCTGAGAAAATTTTCCGAGCAGATTTTTTTTTTCTCACGAAATGCGAAGCATGAGGGATTTCAAATTTTTTAG